TTTCAAAACATTCTAGGTCTTTCATCAAGACTTTTAGGATAAAACTTCTTGAAAGTTTTGTGATATTCAATAATCGTTGTTAATTAATGTGATTGTTAATTTTCGCTACATTTCCGATCGACTCGTATTTTCACGTAGGTTTATCGAGTACTTGGCCACGATGCCACGTCCAAAAGTTGATTGAACGGAATACAGAACAGCAAGATAGGTAGTGTCTCACAAGTAAACCTACCCAAAAGTTACACCCCGATTTTTTTCTAATTTGGCACAAATGTAGAAGTACAAAAATACTTAGGTCATATTTTTTCATTTTAGCCCACTTGAGTTTCATGAATAGTTTATAGCTTTTTAACGTTCCAACTCCTATCATCAACAAGTGCAACAAAAATGCATAAAAAATAAAATTGAATACAAGATATAGTTAAATAATTTTAACAAAATCGGCATAGATGAGACATGAACCATTCTAAATTTCTTTAGCCGAGATTCTAAATATTTTAAATCTGTGTAAATTAATAAAAAATGGTTCGAATCTCGGCCAAACCAAAGAGAGAAAGAGAAATCCGGCAATTTTAAGCAAAATTTTAATAAAATCTGCATAACCAATTTCTCTTAAGCAGAGATTTCTCTCGGTTTGGCCAAGGTTCGAACCATTTTTGACTAATTTAGCAGTTTAAAATATTTCGGTTAAAATTTTAGCTAAAGAAATTTAGAACGGTACGTTTCTCAGCTATGCCGATTTTGTTAAAATTATTTAACTATATCTTGTACTCAATTTTACTTCTTATGCATTTTTGTTGCACTTCTTGATGATAGGAGTGAAAACATTAAAAAGCTATAAACTGCCCGTGAAACTCAAAGTGGATCAAGATGAAAAAATATGACCTAAATATTTTTTATATTTCTATATTTGTGCCAAATTAGAAAGAGATCAGAATGTATCTTTTGAGTAGGTTTACTTGTCAGTCGACTAAGAAGATTGTTAACTCCCCCTTTCTCTCTTAAATTTCTCAAAATTTTATTTCAATTCTTAACGCAAATAAAAGAAAAAAATAATAAATTATGAGAAGAGCTTCTGGTTTTATTTACTCATTCAATTCATTATTTATCCATATGAAATATTTAATACTTGTCTATCATATTATATTTGCATAATCGCAAATAAATTATATAGTTGATATCTAATATAATAAAATCATTATATTTGGTGTAATATCACCTATTGAAAATGGAAATAAATATTAAATATAGATAGAACATAGAGATCATTAAATATTAAATAATTCTGAAATAAATCATCCTCCAACATGGCGCAAACAGTAGACAATTTTTAGCATCAAAGTGAATTGTCAATAGCTATGACAATTCGCAAGATTAACATAGAAACAAAAGTTCGATTAGATTTAAATCCGGTCAACTGATATTTATAATGCACACAGAGTGTGTCCAAACACGCGTGTCACGTTCGTTCATGCACTAATATTCTTGTTGATTACTCCGTTCCAGAGAGAAAAACTCAGCTGTCGAAGCACAAATGCTTCTCGAACTGAAATCATAACTGAAATCACATTTCGCGCCAACGTGCAGGTGAAATCTCGTGGAATTGGGCTTTATCGGACTAAACCTGTTACGTAGTATTGACGACAATGACTCATGTAATGTTAGTGGTGCAGTGAACAAGTTTAAGCAAGCGAGAGAGAGAGAGAGAGAGAGAGAGAGAGAGAGAGAGAGAGAGAGAGAGACGCAATCTACCGTGACAATTAGGTCGAGTACAATCGCAACGTGATTCGAAACAAGACGTTGGCGTGACCTCGCGAGTAAATTTCGCGACTAACGTTGTGAGACTTTCTCGAAAATGCAATTAACCGGTCGGATTGGCTTAACCGGGGCGATCTGTGCAAACGGTATATACAGCCCAAGTGCCGTACGAAATGCAGTCGGGCGGCAACACGTGCATGCAGGAGGCTGCAATGTGCATCGTCGTAAAAGCTCCGTCTTCGCCGAGCTCCTTGCGCGCGTCAAAATATCTCTCTCGGCTTCCTGCCCGATCGGAAATCAATAACAACAGCGCCGTAACAAACCTATTGTTCCAATTGTTTCGGTCACCCCTCAGAACGCGTCCGAAACTCTAAACTCGAGAGCAGCGCGCTCTCGCTCCGAAGTGCGAGCGAAAAGAATACCGTATGATTCGTGATTTATCGGAATACGATGTCGTTGATCAATCAAGCGCGCCATTCGTCCTGGCAACGCGCGGCGGTATCCCCGTCGTACGACGACGACGACGACGACGACGACGACGACGACGGGAAAAAATGATCCCGCTCCCGTTCAAACGGGGAAGAATTCCTGTCCGAAAGGAAATCTTATCGTGTCGATTTTTCCGCGCCTTAACGTTATAATGGAACGAAGATAAAACTCTCGCCCGTCATCCCGCTGGAATCGCCATTACGCGTCGGGACAAACCGAGCGAGAAATACTCGACGCGGATTTGAAAAAGGCGGCGGCGTTAGTACCGAGGACCTCTGAAATTTATAATGGGGTCTCTCGCGCGTCCGCGAAAGAATGCAACTCGGGAAACGTCAGATCCCCGAAGCTGACGCTGTAAGTTTCCGGCACGTAATGCGCGAGAACGAGGGGAACGAGAGGAACGAGGGGACAGGCGTGCAATAATGTACTTGCTCTCTCTCTCTCTCTCCCTCCCTCTCTCTCTCTCTCTCTCTCTCTCTCTCTTTCTTTCTGTCCTATACCTCGGCCCAAGGTGAATTTACGGTAAACCTTCGTATTATTCCCGCGGTAAAGTTTTTCATGGGTATACGGCGTCGCGAGAGAGGCGAGGTCGCAGGAGAAGGCAGGCCGGATGCGTGCGCGCGAGGGAGGAGTGAGAACGCAGAAATATCTCGATAGGGCGTAAGTTTTTTTACGACAAGAAGTTTCTCGAAACAGACGCACCGTGCGGCGCACACCGTTATTTTTATGGTTCACTTCAAACTCTGACGATTTTACGATTCCCTGCCATCATCGAGGGTAACACGAGGGTAACGCGTGATATAGAGCCGCGGACGAAACAGCTTGTTACATCGAGTACAATTTCTCAATTACCTTGCGTTTAAAGTGTTTCACACGATGCGAAGTATATTTCACATATCGCGACGAGGACACGCCGAGAATATACGCAGCGCAGTGTGCGAGGAAAACGAAACGCGAGAAATCCAACGTCAGCTTTGCGCGCGAGCTCGACACGTAACATGGCTCATCTCTCCGTCCACTATATACATTTTATCGCGTGAAACGTCAGTCCAATAATAATGAAAAAAAAAATAATATGACGTTTAATTGCTTTAGACGTTTGTCTGGACATTTCAACCGATACTTATTTAATGCTCGCGCTAAAGCCGCGTAACGACATTAATAGACACTTTCAGGAAGAAGAGGAGAGAAAAAAATCTCTCGCCTCCGACAAAACAAATTTATTCGTGACTGAATGTGTACTGTGGCGTCCATAAAGTGAGATTTCGTGTCGTCCGCGATTCCAGATATTGATCCATTAAGACCAATGCAATTAACAACCATGGCGGAATAACGGCCGGCACGACGACGACGCAGCGAGCAAGGCGTGGCAGCCGTTCATCGGACCCTTAATGCCAATGCCAATGTCAGGGTTTTCCCGGTCAGTTACTCACGCACACTCCTACAATCGCACCCTGGAAACTCGTCCCAACTCGCTCGTCGAGTCTGCTGGGATCGTCCTATGCTCTTCAGTTTTCCCCGTCATCATCGTTCGCTGATAACGTGTCCGCTCACGGTATCACGAGCGATCCGACTACACGAGGAAGAACGAACGCGAAGCGTTTACCCCCGTAGTGAGCACCGACTCTCGGGGGTTGAAGTATCGACCGCACAGTCGTGACAGACCGCGAGGTTACCGACGTCGGAGCTTTCAGCTCTCTGCCGCTCGCTCGCAAGGTACGACACGACGTTTAAGAGGCGTCACGATATCACGCGGGCTCGCCTACTTATTCGCTCGATAGGATCGGCGATTGATAAGCATCCTGCAACGGGACTTCCAATCATGCAAATCGCGAGTCGCTCGAGCAACAAAACAAAAACATCGAGTGAGCAAAAAACGAGCAAAAAGGTAGCGAAAACGCCCATGGTTTAATTTCGTGACCGCTACTAATTTCCGCCTGGTCATTCGTGTCGTGAAAAGGAGGAAAAGGGAAGGAAAGGAGGGAGGAATAAAATAAAACGAGAAAAATAGCTGGGCGAGCTTCCAATAACGCCGCGCAAGCATGAGCCAAGCAGCTTGAACGCGTTGCAGGTCGCCTTTCGGGGTTAGGCTTGGCGAATTGCGATAAACTTCAAAGGCACGATAACTCGACTCACGAGTTGTTTGCGTTCAAAATCATTACATCTAGGGCAGCTCGACGAAATACGCGTGCGACTAATGAAAGCATAAATAACGCGACGTCGAGCTGCCACTGCTCCCGCTACGCCACGAGTGCTTTCGACTTTATCGCGCACTCATCTTATAACTTTTAGATGTGCAAATAAATGATTTTTGTATTACCAATTTAAAGCAGCATGCTACAATATTTGCTAGCAAATTTAGGTGAATATGGGAATTATAAATTCATTTGTCTTTCTCGCTGCTAGTTTTTTTATCTACCACAGTCACTTTTACAAGTGAGACTAGCCTTAATCTGGATGACCATCTAGATGGTCATCTATTTCTCGCTAAATTTCACAAACAGTTCAGATATAAATTCTGTTCCTATCATCTATATTGATTAAATATAAAAAATATACGATTTGTTAATCGTTTATTCAAATTTTTCGTATCTAAATAATTTTCGTTATGTGTGACTGCTTTTTTGACTACTTTTGTGAGTATATCCGAAAAAGAAGAGGAACTGACGACTCGATCGATACTCGTCCCAGCGAGATTTTCGTCATTTACGTACGCAGAAGATTAAACTTAAAGAGTAGAACGATGAACTTACCTTCTGCTTGTCCAGAAGGTGCATGATTTCATCGACATCGCCGACGACCACAGCTTGTTGTCGCAGCATCTCTTCCTCGACCGTGAGCCAGTCACGTATCTGCAACGTAAGCAAAGAAGATATTACGACGAATGCATTACGGGAGGGAGCCACAACAAACGCGAGAGCGAGCAATACGAGACTCTCCTCAACTCAGCAGTGACATAATTTACAATGATAACGGCAGTTATATCGTCGGCATTATCGTTCTCACGTTACAACCTACTCGTGACAAAGCCCTTGCCGCGGTCTAAATATACATGTAGACATAAAAGAAATCTTAGGGTTGATATTTTCAAAGCTCCTTTCTCTCACGCTAGAAACCCCGACCTAGAAAATGCGGTGCACCTCACCATCGGGAGTTTAAAAGGGAAAAAGAAAACGAGAACAATGTGTCCCGAGACGGGCGTGACGTTAAATTAACAACGCATCCTCGACTCGGGAAGTCCGGTAGATCGGTTCGGAAATCGATAACCCATCTTGACGGATTAATCGCGAATTAGCCATGGCAATTAACTCCCGCGTACCTTGGCAAACGTGCGAATCGTGCGAAACGTCGGCGGGAAATGTCTCGGACGTCCGGGAGCGGTACAAATGAGATGGAAAAGAGCCGGAGCGCCGGCCGGCCGAGGCGGGCAGGACGCGCGACCGGAATTGGGATATTTGCCGCCGGAAATTAGCAGGGAGTGTCCGCTCGTAAGTGGCCGACTTCGATTTACCTCCCTCGCGTCTCGGTATCCACTAAGAGCCTCGACAGTCAAGGATAGTCGAGTGTCGAAATGTACCACACAGGGGGACGGATCGCGTCTCCGAGTTCACGTCGGAACTTCAGGACCGTACTGCCGCCACCACCCATTGCTCCCCGATGAATTGCAGACTCGGAGGAGGCCTGATTGAAAAGTTGGCGTGCTGGATAACATTCTCGCGGCTGCTGCGTTTCCGCGTCGAACAATCGCGGCGGAAGCGCGCGCTCGTGTGAAATAGCTGCCGAAGAAAATAGCGTCGCTCATGCGGGAAAAGGCCCGCAGCTATGTAATTACTCCAAATGCGTTGCGCCGGCATCGCGTTTGCGCGTCGCGCTCAATTGTATTACAAATTTGCATTTTCCAACCGCCATTACGGCGAACAGTTTTTCCTTGTAAATGGCTCTATTGGCGCGTTTAATTAAATATCAAGGCGAGTTGCGTAATCGCGTTCCCGTTGGAGCTACGAGTTGTACAGCCAATAATACATTTAAAAGCTCGTGCGAGCGCGCGCGCGCGTAACGCTTCGCTAGCCACCGGAAACATCTCTGCTGGCGATTTCAGCGTAGCTCGTTGGCTCCGTGATGCATCGGGGTTCTAGTTGAAATACTTCAAAAGATCGCGGCGTCCAAATAAAAACGTTTACTGCCAACAACATATTGCAAAAAAGAGAGAGAGAGACAGAAAGAGAAAGAAAGAAATGGAGAGAGGTAACAAGAGAGAAGGGAGAGCACGCCCTGCAATCCTCTCGGCCTAACAGCGAGCTGATCGATCGGCGACGCAACAGCGAGCAGGCAAGAAGGCCGAACTAGCGTTCGACGAGGGTTCGCCCGAATCGCAAACGCGAAACTTTCGAGGGAGTCGATAAATCGCGGAAGAGATAAACCGTAGTGCTACAGGAAATTAAGGTCTCGCTCGGTCCGGCAACCCCCCCGAGTCTGCCACCTAGTCTAAGCTCCTGGGCTCGTTCCGCCTTTCACCCACCCTTGTCCGGCTCGGAGCGGCCTTGATTAAGTGCCTGTTGTCGAAGAATGATCATATCCCTCGCGTTTCCCGCCCCGAAACGAACGAGGCTCGTCTCTACTCGGGATCCATACATTTTCATGTAACTTACAGTTTAGCCGTTTATCTTGGCAGTACAGCGCGTGAGAGAGGAAGAGGAAAAGAGGGAGCGCGGCTCCTCCACCATCTTCCCCGGGATAATCTTAATAATGTGAAGAGAGACGTCGGTACAAAGTGTATCCCGATCGACAGACTCTTCTTCCGCGGGCGACTGTTCCTCCGTCTGAATCAATTCCGAAAAGATGAGCCACGCAACTACTATTTCTCATCCGTGTGCGCTTGTAAATACAGTTTCGAGTATATGCAGGCTTTCGTGCCGTAAAATTTCGCCAGCCAAGTCACGCGTACGTTACACATATCCAGTCGTGCAATCCACGTTCGCTCGCTTCTATGCGTACGAGGCATACGCTCGTTTCATCGACAAGGTCGTGAAACCGAGGAGTGCCGCACTCCGAAAGTTTAACGATCGGTTTTAGCACCTGAGCAATAAAAAGGAAGAAAAAGGAAAACACGCGACAGGGCGCAGACACCTCCCTTCGGAAATCAACTATGTCGAGAGAGATAGATAGATAGATAGATAGATGAAGGAGAGGGCGAGAAGAAAAGAGAGCGAGAGAGAAACACAGAGAGAGAGAGAGAGAGGGACTAGCAGCAACGATCGAAGCGCGCGACGTCGCCCGTTATTTGCGCTATGACGAGCGCCACGAACTTTAATCGTTTCTTCGAGACAACGTCGCGACAAAAAATACTCTTGTCCCCGTAAATACGCCGTCGCCTTTAGCCGAAAACCCAATAGCCGAAAACATATCCAAAAGTAAAAGCAGCGGAAGTTTACGTCTTCCGCGTTTTAGCCTAAAGCGAAATTCGTCCCGCGACAAGCGATCGTGTTGTCCCCAAACGACAGTAAACGCTGAGAAGTTGGCGCAGGTGCACTTTGCACGAAGTTTCTCGATTGTCGCCCTACGACTTTCCGATGCAACAAACGGTTCATCGGACAAGCTGTTTCATCCCCATTCTGTCGATTTCCTTTTTTTCAATCGAGACCCTTGATATTACCCCGTCGCCGCTCGTGTTGCTGAAAAAACGTTATTTCTCACGGGAAATTGTTACCGAGTTTCAAGGAGAGAAACAGAGAGAGAGGGGGGCGGGATGCAACGGAAATTGCACGAAAAATATTTTCGAAAATTGTTAATAAAAAAAACTGAAATTCCTGCGTGATATTAATTGTTTTTCATATCTTCATCATACCACGTGTTGCAATATGGAAAAATTTCAACAAACCCACGATAAATTCGACGCTCTGCGGTAATTATAGTTCGCGCAACTAATTTAAATCATTGAGGAACACGCGAGAGAGAACGCGGAACATATTGCCGGGCATCGTTAATCACTCGTGAACGCGCGACGACGGAAAACAATGCCCTGCGCTATTTCAGTATTTTACGTAGTAGAATCCACGTAAATTACAGAGAATCCACGTGTGCTCAAACGTGGGTCTCACATATTTTGTCTCAGAGGCGACCAAGAATCTAATAAGCTGAATACCACAAAGAGAGACTCAGCCCCAAATTATTGGAGTGCCACGAGAACGCGAACGCGGGAATGCGGTATAGGAAACCGCACGCTAACATTGTGTTCGGAGAACTTCCCGATGCGAAACTTGCTTTCATATGCAACGAAAATGCGCGTTCGCCGGACGGCGCAAACTTTTGCTGCCGGGCAGCTGGTGACATCTTGAATTAATGAAAGCTTGTAGCTTATAACTTCCATCCCCGGGTCCTCGATCGCTCAAGCTGATAAACCGTGTTACTACTCGCGCAGAAGTGTCTCATGATTTTTCTAGATGAAGCATAGATTCTGTCTACACTGAGAAAAAAATATTTAAAAAATAGCAAATATTTATTTGGTGAATATTAACAGCATATTTGTATTAATATCAAATATTTGTCAAATAAAAAAATATATATTTTCTTAAAATCTTAAATCTTTCTAAAAAAATCTCCAATTTCTTATAAAAGTAGTTATTTATTCCATTTAAATTTATTCTGTTTAAATAAAAAAATTTAAATCTAAATAAATATGCTGTTAGTACCCACCAAATAAATATTTATAAAATATTTACTAATTTTTTTATATTTTTTCTCTAGAATACCTAATCAATCTAGAATACCTAAAATTTATTATATTATTCCTGTCTTAAACATGGATATCTGTCTAGAACAAAAATATACAGAAACTCACGTTTTTTTCTCAATTGGTAATGTCGGCATATTTTTGTGGTATCAAACATGGGACCCAATTTCTATACCAACTAATGTATTGAATAGAATAAAATATCAAAAACTAAAATATTTTTAAAACACTAAGCATTTTACCAAATAATGACATTATTTAGAAAGTCAACATGTTTTGTTCAATTCTAACGTAAAATGAAGAGCAAATATTAGAAAAATTTTGGGCTTTTCCAGAAACAGAAGAAATAGTAGAATCCATGTTTAGGACATCATAATTCTAACCAGAATCCATAATTATTTTAGGAAATCGACGATTGGATCCCAATTAGATCTCAAGTTTTCTACGCAGATATAATCGCGTTACAGATCTTTGTACAGTGTGAGAGAGAAGATAACCGAATCGATGCGGCAAATATATAAGCTTGACGCGCAACATCTCGTCCCCCGTAAACGGCGAAATGCTCCAGTTCCGCTTACCCGCCTGATTGAGACAATTGCTATCTTCGCGACGACGAGAGCGGCGTCGTGCGCCTCAATCAATGCGACGTGCGCAGCGCGCATAAAATGCGGTTCGCCGTCACGAGGGCGAAATAGAATTTCATTGGCAACTTGATTCCTGCTCGAGTCTCGTTACCTCGAGGCCTCTCATCGCTTTATGCAAACAGCACAATACTTGTCAGCGCGACAGCATAGCCGGAAATGGAAGCGGGGAGATAGCTGTTATGGCGTCGGACTGCTTGGAGTCTAACTGTTGACTCGGCAAATAGGAAAAGCGCAGCGGAGTTTGTGCAGTGTTGACCGAGACGGTAGTAAAAGTTATCTGAACAATAAGAGGGGCCCGATGTACGTGCGGACGCATTAAATGTTTCGCCCAAAAAGCATTTGCATGCGCCTTCATATAGCGCGCCTCACGACCAACCGCCACTGACAGACCGCATCGCGAAACATCATCGAGAAAAAGAAAGAAAGAGCAAGCTGAACATTGAGACGAAATTGCCGACATAAATACACTTTTCCACCG